CAGTGCTCCACACAAGGCTTTGTATCTCTGCAGCCTTTGGAGGGGAGGTTTTCTCTAGTTTTTTTCTTTAATGGAATCTCTCACATGAGAGATAAGAATAGCTGAGTTCATGAGAGAGTGATAAGTGTCCAAAAAAGACATCCATCTTCCTGTTATTTATAATTGTACAATGTCTGAGACACAGACCCAGATTCACAAAGCTCAGAGGTACCATGCTTTACTTGGGCCTACTCCTAGTCAAATATCTAACAACCTTGCAATAAATAAGAAGGAACACAGCGTGGAAGGCAGTTAATGCTGTAGCCATTCAAATGCTATTTGTCAATGCAGTGACTTTCCTATGTGGCTGCCCACAGGCAGCAACCTAAAATTGTTCAAAAAAGTATCGCTGAGTTTCTGTCACAGAAAAAATATCTTTAGAAAAGAATGCCAGATTACAGGGTTTGCAAATACACTTGCACATTAGTTGCTCATATCTATACATTCTCTACAGAAGGGTACAGCTTGTAGCTACAGAGCCATGTTTATTCCAGGTACCACACTACCAGAGTCAGTGATGTGAGATCAGGCATAAATCCAACCGAGTCTTTTCTGTGTCACAATAATTAATGATGTCAGAACACATATGGAGCGCAATTACAGTCAGTAGGGGCAACTTTGAAGGAAAATGGAATTTGTTTTTCTCCTTGCACAGATGCCTAGAATGAATCTTAAAGTTGCAGGAGATAGGCAGGGCAAAACAAACACAGCACAGCCCAAAGGGACAGGAAATGGTTTGGGAAGAACCTTACGCTTGCAGGAAGGCACCCCGGCCGTCCACTGGGTAGCGTTCCCTTTCCAGATGCAGGTGATGACGCCCGGTCCCTCCAGCTGGTGCTCAGCAGAGCACTGGAAGGTGATCACCGTCCCCACAGCCGTGCCGTTGCCGTGAAGGATCTGTAGTGTGGCCAGCTGGGGAGGGAGGATGCGGCTGCACTGCCCTGCAGAACAGAAACAAAGCGAGACAATGCAGCGCTGAGCCAAAAGTGAAGATGCGCTGTAGTTTCATTGTGATCAGGTTGTAAATCAGGCCAAGCTCATGGTCAAAACAAGCAACAGACCTTGGGAAGGGCAATCCTGGCTGCTCTGCCAAGCACCAGCCCAAGGCCAAACCCCCTTGGGTGCCATTCAGCAGTTCCACTGCTCTGACCCCTGGCACAAAGCGGGATTTACTCATGTTGCAACATTATCTACTTAAACTGGTACATATTAAACTTTTTTTTTTTTTTCAAAAAAGAGTCATTTTGGGAGTGGTGTGGTCTTCTATGGGTTCCTGTCTTGTTGGACTCTGTGTGTTTAATGAAGTACTCAGGCTGGCATACTCCACATGGGGAGTATCCATAACATGTTCTTTCCCATACAAACTCTCCAAGATCTAATGAACTGATCACATATTTTAGTCTACTTGGTACCATATTTTCATGATTCTGCAGAAACCTTCTATCTTTTAAGAGCATTGCACTTCTGTTAGTCTTGGCTAAAATGAGCCACTCTAGAGAGAAGGGACAGACAGAAGCATACACACACAGCACTGCTATTCAGCTTATCTCCATTTGCAAGTGAAAAGCTCTGCTTTGTAGTACATCATTCATTTTTAGTACATTTTTGGTCATTCGGCTGTTCTCTTTCTGTTTCTTTGTCGTTCATACAGCTGTTCCTCAAGTCATGGAGCTGTTCTCCTCACGGCCACCTGACATCAACCACTAACTTTATATGTTGGGTTTCACTGTCACAACATCCTTTGTTTCACACTCATTTAATGATTGGTCATTGAGACAACATATAGTATCCAGATACACTTCAAAGATAACAACAATAAATACATTTTTCTGGTTTTGTACATGTGCACTGACAGAGTCTGGAAACTGGTTTACTTTTTTTTTTTTTTAACTTTTACTAAATACTGGCACTGCTTCTGCATCAGAGTCCGAGTTCCCTGTCTTCTGCTGGATTTCCAAATGACTTCAGCAGACTCAGAGGCAACTGGGTTGCAGTTGCAAGACCAGAGTTGCAAACACCATGATGACACGCACAAAAATATAAAAGATGGAAAATACACTCCCCACAACTACAAGCAAAAAGAAACGTAGAGTTCTAATAACCTCCTTGAGAACATATTGACAGAATCACAAGTTGATAGCAAATAAATTTTATTTTTAATACATAAAAACCCTCTCTTGTCATTAATTGACATGAAGCTTCTGTGATCAAACCATAGCAGACAGGCTTTCCACCTGTCTTCAAACATGCTCTTAAGAACCCCAGGCCTCTGGAAAGCACACCCAAAGAAATCTCAGCAAAAGACCAAACAAGAGCCACAGTGACAATTACAGGTCTAATCTACTAAGTAAATATATGCTGAGGACTAGCTTTTAAAAACAGGCCTTTTTTAATTCCATGCAGATTATTTCTCTTTGTTTTGCCACACTTTTCAGTCCCTTACTATGGCAGCAATTTACCTCAGTGAGAGCAAATATCTTCCTGAGTGTCATTTCCATTCATCTAGTGTCCTTCCCTCCAACATGTAGTGTGTGCTGGATAACCTTCCCTCTCACTTCAGATGAGCATTACAAGTTTGAGTGCTTCTTTTTACCTTCACCACTCAGAGACTTACCATGAAAAACCATTGTCCTAAGCTGCAAAATATCTTTTTGCATTTTACACTTTCAAGGCTACTTTCAGATACTGGATCACATACTTAGAGTTCACACTCTGGTGACACTTCCAGCTGCATGAGCTCCAGAAAGTAATTCAGAGTCAAAATGGATCCAAAGTACATCTGCTGAGCCACCTAAGCAGCCCTCATTAGACGCTTTCAGTAGACTTGCCAGTCTAGCTGGACTTGTTATTCAGACTCTGCTCTCCAAAGAACATTTGGCAGTAGATCCTTTCTTTCAAGATATATTTCATTTAATGCAGCGTTGACTATCACAAGTAACACGTGAATCTGTAGCTGGTTCAGGTGCTCTTGACCCTCTCCTGCATCGTCCTTGCCCATGATGGGGTAGGTCAAGTGACTAAAACCTCTGAATCAGAGAATCAGAGAATCACAGAATAGTAGGAGTTGGAAGGAACTTCGAAAGCTCTTCTAATCCAACCCCGCTGCCAGAGCAGGATCACCCAGACCAGGTCACACAGGAACACATCCAGGCAGGTTCTGAATGTCTCCAGAGAAGGAGACTCCACAACCTCTCTGGGCAGCCTGTTCCAGTGCTCCGTAACTCTTACAGTAAAAAAGCTTTTCCTAATGTTCAGGTTGAACCTCCTGTGCTCCAGCTTGCTCCCATTGCCCCTTGTCCTATCATTGGACATCACAGAGCAGAGCCTGGCTCCTTCCTCCTGACACTCGCCCTTTACAAATTGATAACCATGAATGAGGTCACCCCTCAGTCTCCTCTGCTCCAAGCTAAAGAGCCCCAGCTCCCTCAGCTGCTCCTCATCAGGAGATGCATCCATCATCTTTGTGGCTCTGCGCTGGACTCTTTCAAGCAACTCCCTATCCTTCTTCAACTGAGGGGCCTAGAACTGAACACAATATTCCAAATGTGGTCTCACCAGGGCAGAGTAGAGGGGAAGGAGAACCTCTCTGACCTACAACCCCACCCCTTCTGATACACCCCAGGATGCCATTGGCCTTCTTGGCCGCAAGGGCACAGTGCTGGCTCATGGTCATCCTGCTGTCCACCAACATCCCCAGGTCCTTTTCTGCCTGGCAGCTCCAGCCACTCATCCCCAAGCCTGTAGCGCTGCATGGGGTTATTGCAACCGAAGGATTGCGATATGCAGGACCCGGCATTGATTTGGCCTATCCAGGTCCCTCTGCAGAGCCTTCCTACCCTCAGGCAGATCAGTACTCCCTCCCAACTCAGTGTCATCTGCAAACTTGCTGAGGGAGCACTCAATCACCTCAACCAGATCATTGATAAAGATGTTAAACAGGACTGGCCCCAAAACTGAGCCCTGTTAGTGACCTTGTCAGAATTATCCCTCAGCTGTGGATTTTAAAGGTAAAGGAGAAAGCCTTTACCTGCCTTTACACAAATACTGCACTGAAAGTTCACCAACTGCATTTTGTGCACCTTCAGTCAGCCAGAGCAGAAAAAGCATTTCTTTCTATTCTTCTTCTAAGAGCTTCTCAGTACAATTTCTCCCCACCAAAGTCAAAACATTAAAGGTCTCCCTGCTTTTTGCTTTTTACAGATGCTTTTATTGAAATGCACAGATGGCTTTTTGCTGGTATGACTTGGTGAATTTTATCCAAGTTCAGATTTAATATATCTGGATAAAATTTGCCCTAATTTTCATCGGAAACAGTCTTCTAAAAACCCATTTGTAAAATCTCTCCTGTAAGCTCTAGCATTCTTTGCTATTCACTATCTGTAATGTTTTTGCAGTCACTTGCTGCATTCACTGTTCTGCTAAGTTAATTTTACCCTTTCATCTCCAGAAAATCATTGTTTCAGTAAGCTTCCATCCTCATATTTATATAAGCAGATGTTCCATATAGATTTATCCTTTGAATGCTCTTCAGGCATGTTTATCTAACTAAATCTACTACAATCAGGAATTTTTAAATTATTATATTAAATATATTTATATTTTTGTTTTCAGCTGAGGCTGGTGTGTCTCCAGAAGTAAAATATTGCACAAACATTTGTGCTGACCAGACTTACATCTTGATTCACATTTCTTTTCTAAATATCTAGAAATTGTCATATTCAGGTCTTGGGTCGCACCCAGAAATGTAAGATCTAATAAATCCCCTAATTATTGCTCCTGTAGCTTTTGCAATGGCTGCATCTCAAACCTCACAGATCCAAGCTAGGAGGAATGCTTGAGGAATTAGCAGCCTATCAGCCATTTGTATGTAGTTTATAATAAACTTCAAAATTCATGACATGTTGTTTAGTTTTGATTAGTTTTGTGGCACCATTCCTAGACTTGACACGTGTCTCCAGCACCCAGTTCTTCTTACTCCTCACTGTTCTCCACTCCCAGGCTCGTGCTTGGTTACACTTCCAGATACTGGCCACTGCTTGCCAGCTCAAGAAGAAAACACAGGTGCTGATACCTCCCTATGAAACAAAGGTTGGAAATATTTTTATGTATGTATTTTTAAGCCCAACGGAAGATGTGAGGAGTCCCACTTGTTCATTTTACTCATTGAAAAGGATTAACAAACCACCTTGTCCAGTCTGCATACCATGCCAATGCACAGCATCGGCGCTGGCGAGCAGAGATGACCACCAGCCATCAGCCGGCCAATTCCCTCCAGGGCACAAAGAGTTCCTGACACCTGCAACTTCCTACAGCTACTTCTGCAGCTTCTTGCAAAGCAAGAGCTGATTTATACAAATGTATTCCTTGGCTTGGCTTCACACTAAAAGGTTCGAAAAGTGTTCAAAAAGTATTCTCTCGGGGGAGACCTGATCGTGGCCTTTCAGGACTTAAAGGGCCTTATAAGAAAGAGGTGACAGCTTTTAGCAGGGCCTGCTGCAATAGGACAAGAGGTAATGGGTTTAAACAATAAGAGGGTAGATTTAGATATGAGGAAGATATTTTTTTACGCTGATGGTGGTGAAACACAGGCACAGGTTGCCCAGAGAGGTGGTTGATACCCCATCCCTCGAGACATTCAAGGTCAAGTTGGACGGGGCTCTAAGCAACCTGATCCAGTTGAAGATGCCCCTGCTCCCTGCAGGGAAATTGGACCAGATGGCCTTTAAAGGTTCCTTCCAACCCAAGCCATTCTAGGATTCTATGATCCTCTCTGAATCTGCTGCCAACACAGGGGAAGGGGGATGAGGGGAGCAGGGCGGGCGCATTGGTTATTACAAATAAACAGATTATTTCATATGACAAGTAACTGTCCTTAAAATAAAGACACTAAAGCGTAGTGTAGCCCATACATTCTTAATTCACCCAAACTACTGGGCTCAGAAATAGCCACATACATAATTTCCAGGCACTAAAATATAAAGAGTAATGCAAGAATTAAGACAAAATAATCCAAAATATCTTTTCACATGCACAGCCAGGATTATCTGTATTGCAAAAGCGATTTGTCAGAAAGAGTTACCATATGGTTTCATTGTCAGCAAGCTGCAGATTTATGTTTTGCTGATAAGAAAACAGAAATGAGAGAGCAACCCAGGCGCACTTGCCTGTTAAACGTTTCCTGTGCTCCTTCCACAGCAAAACACAGACTAAAAATCAAATATCATATAAGCATATACCAAAATGATCTCTAACACAACAATAATTACCTGAAAGCGTGTTATCAAGATTGCCACTCGCTGTTTGTGCAGAAAGGGAGCAATCCATGACTTCGCCTCATTATTCCCATACCAACGTAACAAAAGCCTTTGCCTTGCCTATTGTTGACTACTTAATGCAGTTAAAACACACTGGAATAACCAGATGCCAGAAAGAGGCAGAACATGAGGCTCTATAAACCCTGCAGAAAATAAACATGTCAATCTTATTTCTGCATTTCTTCACGCATTAGGAATTAGTGTCCCTGAAGTCCCAGGCATGGCGTTGGACATCCGCAGCTCACAGAAGAGCTCTTGGAAGAGCTCGCTATGCCAAAAAGCAAAAGAAAAGCAGCTAGAAGTGAAATATTAAATAAAGCAGATGCAGTAAAGCATCTTGTATGTGGGAAACTGCCTCGCCCTGGCGCCGGTCCCCTCACGGCCGTGCCTTTGCTCCCTTGCAGAGCTGGCCGTGAAAAAACTGCTACCAGGGGGAGCTCATCCTCCCACTAGAAAGTTCAGACACTGGCATCGCTCTTTAAGAAATCAGGGTTAAACATGACAACACCAACCCAGCAGCAAGAGATGGGGGGAGGTCCAGGTGCTTGATGCTGCAGAGGTTGAACAAGGTCCCCGGTGGTGCAGCAGCCACTGGGAAGCATGCTATGGAGACCTCCTACTGCATGGTGGCACCAGGTAATGACCTGCTTCAGCCTTTTCAAACAAAAGCAATGGTAGGGTTTGACCTTTCCTATCTATTTCACTGGTTTCTGAGAGCTACTGAAAGGCAAGACACTGGAAAGCTGTTACAGACCCCTCTGCCCCCAACACATGGACACGGCCCTGCACAGTTACTCCCCTGGGGGAGGTTTCAGAGGTCCAGGTGTGGCACAGACCACATGCACCAACACACAACTCTCTGCACACTCATCACTGGAAGGAGCACTTTCGGCAGACAGGGCCAGGCTGGGCCACCGCTGCCCAGGGCAGCTCCACGCTCAGGAGCCTGATGGAGACCTGCAAGGACTGCAAGAGCAGCTGTGCTCCACGTCCTAGGGCAGGGCACAGAGGAGCCATCTGGACAGCTGCAGGCAGTGGCATTTGAAGGTACCTACAGAAGGTGTCTGTCAGAGCAGCTTGTTAACGATACCTGGGCCTTGCATCTGCCCGATTTCAGCATTTCCAAGTGAAAATACTCCCTATGAAACATTCTGGGTTTCTACTGAAAAAAACAATTTTAAAATTGGGAAAGAGGGAACCCAATTTCTGGTCATTCTCACAGGCCACTGTTAAACACTTGTGGAAATGTTTTTTTGAAAAAAGCTCATTCTTTCATTGATAAGGAATTTCCATACAAATAAGAGAGAAGGAAG